GACGGGGCGATGATCCGGAGCGGTTGTGGTGCTTACGGTTTAATGTGAGTTCCTCGATCTGGCGCTGAAGCGACGCTATCTGCAATGATAATGCGTCTATTGCCGACCGCGGGCTAGTCGCGCTTGTCGTTGTGGTTGCACCAGCGCAAAGCTGCTTAGGTGCTTTGGTTTCAGTCTCTGGCTGGTGCCGTTCGATGAGGCGGTCTGCTAGATCTGCAGTTGCTGCGCGTGGCAACTCCCTTGCTACCGCAAGGATAGCCTGAATGCTTTCATAAAGGCGTTGCATCCACAGCTCGCGGAGAATCCCTACGTCCATGTTGGACGTGCCGATGAGCTGGTGCATTTCGCGCAACATGGCTGAGGGTATCCTATCTCCTAGCTGCAGATCACTAAATAGTTGCTGCAGACGGACCTTGTCAGAAGGCGTGATTCGCTGAGTAATAGCCTGTTTAAGAGTCTCGTATTTCATTACCAGAGGGGGAAAGTATGATGTCTCTCACTTGCGAGGATATACTCTGAGAAAGGCAAGATATTAGCTGATTACACATAGCGAAATCAGAAGAAATCTTATGAATATAAAATACGGATTTTAGGTGCAAAAACCATAATAAAGGTTCATTCTCCCTAAAAGGGGGAGGGGCTAAGGCAACAGAATTGACCATGACAGTCTGAACGGCGTTAACGGCGCATGGAGATGGCTTATCGTCTATATAATCCATTGCCAAGAGCCGATAAAAGATCTGGCAGATGAGAAACCAATGCCATCACAAGTAATGAATCACTAGATCACTGGAACGAGCACACCAGAATAAAAATGCAAAATGGCGGGCGGCGTGTTCCTGACAGGGATTCACCAATTGTTGGGCGGAGCCTGGGATACTAGTCGGTAGGCAATGACAAGTAAGGTGTGTCAAATACGACAGTATAGAAGTCGGAGGCGACTGAAACTAACGTATATTGTGCAGGCTACAAGAACAGGAAGCGAATCAGACGGAGCGAGAAACGTGCAGCGAGGTACTCACCAAAACGCTTTGTGTCAGGTCAGATCAGGTCAGGTCAGATGGACGATGGAGGCTCCCACCTAACGAGCGTCCAATTCTTATACCCGTAAGTGAAGCGGCCCCCGGCACTTCGACGTTGGGTTGTCTCTTCTTGCTTCTACAATGGAATGAAGCAAGAACAAGAGCAATCTCTGCACTTTCATATGCCAGCATAAAAATACACTACATATTCCAATACAACTACAATAACTATGGAAAAAGGATTAACCAACGATTGTCTAAGCCTTTTTTGAAGGCTTTTATGGTCTCAGGCTCCACTAAACCAGAAGGAACTTTATTCCAGAAGTTAACTACTCGGTTCGCAAAAAACTTGCCCTGATGTCCAAAAGAGCTCTGTGATGTTTGAGCTTCAGGCGGTGCCCGCGCAGATGGTCTGACGTAGCCAACTCAAACAGATGGGTGGAACTAATACCACTAAGTCCCTTAATGATCTTAAACGTCTCTTTCAAATCCCCTCTCAACCTATGCCGTTCCAAGGAAAATAATCCTAAGCTACTTAGACGATCTTCGTAAGACTTCCCTCATTGACCTTCAATCATCCTGGTCGCAAGTTACTGAATCTTTTCTATACAAATGATGTCACTCCGGAGGTACGGTGACCAGGCCTGAACACAATACTCCAGATGTGGCCAGACCACTGCTGTATATAAGGGTAAGAATACTTCTGATTTAGTGTTACTCAGTGCCCTCCTAAGACGAAATAACTCGGATCGTGCTTTATTGGCAGCGTGGCGACACTGTGACGAAGGCTTAAAATTGTTCGCTACGATGACACCTAGATCACGGGCTTCGTCAGTACACCGCAATGATAGACATCCCACAGGAGACTGAACTGAAGTTCCGCCACCACTACCAGTCAATAGTTGACATTTGTTGGCATTTAGAGGTAGGACCCATTGGCTTGACCGATTCACCACAGTGATGATGTCCTTAGCCAATGTCTTTCGGTTTCCCCTACTGACTAGCTTCATGTCATCTGCGAAGATGTAGCAGGGATCCTCAAGAAGAGAAGCCAGGTCATTTATAAACATAAGAAACAGCAATGGACCCAGAACCGAACCTTGGAGGACACCGCTGTAGGCATGCCCAACACTAAAACTCGCTTCCCCAAAGCTGACGCTGGATGTCGTTCCACGTAAGAATTCAGAGAGCCATAGTAATAGTTGAGGATGCAATCCAAACCATGTCAGCTTCTCAATTAAAAATCGATGCTTCACGGAGTCAAAGACTTTACTGAAGTCCAAATAGCACACCTCTGCCGATATCCCACCACCGAGACAACGGGTAATCTCGTCTAAAAAGCACAATAAATTGGTAAGACAAGACTTCTTTTTGAGAAAGCCATGCTGTTCCGCTCTAATTAGATTGTGCTCAGTCAAGTGCTCACAGATCCTGTTCCTTATAAGTTTTTCCAAGCATTTCATCATGATGCTGGTCAACCTAACAGGTCTGTAGTTAAGAGGCACCGACTTGGAACCCCCTTTGTGGATGGCAACAATAGTCGCTTCCTTCCAATCACGTGGCAGCTTGCCTTCTTGAAGAGACTGGTTGAATAACTCCGCTACGGGATACTGAGGGATATCAGCCAGAGGCTTAACTATGGCGGGATGTACGCTATCAGGACCAGCGGTTTTTTTAAGGGTTCAAACCGGTCAGAGCTGTGAAGACCTCTGACAATTTAAAAATAATTTCCCGCATTGTGGGGCTAGTTGAGCAGTGCGGCTGTGATAACAAGGCTGACCCACTATCCTTCCGATGCAGGCTTTGGTACACACGTAGCAGCGCTTCTACTTTAGCAGCGTCATCTACAGCCTGGGTACCGTCCTCCATGGTTAGACAGCCGACCACCTCTCTCAAAGAAGTCTTTGACTGGACATAACTGTAATAACACCTGGGATTAGTTTTTGCAAATTTGGTCAACCTAAGCTCATATGAGTACCTCGCCTGTCGCTGTAACTTAATAGCCCTGTTTATACACCTTTTGTACTGCAGCCAACGTCGGAAGCCCCGAGTTTCTTGATATTTTCTCCACCCAACATTGCGCCTCTTTATCGCTCTATCAGTTTTCTTCTCCACCATCGGGGTTTCCCAAGATGTCTCCTGGGGCGAAAAGAAGCAAACTCATTCAGCAACTGTACAAGTCTTCTTTTAAGTAGAAGCCACCTCTTTTTCAAAGTGGCCTTGTCCTGATTAGGGACCCAAGTGGTCTGAAGGGCTCGATCCCGCAGCTTCGTAAAATCAATACCATTTAAATCTCTTCCCATTCGACGGTTCTATGCAAGCCTCGGTGTGTCCAGAGAAAATGTCAAAACACAATGATCACTCTCACCTATGGGTAGCTCGACGCATAGGTCAATCAAGTGACCATGTCTGGCAATAACGATATCAAGGTTTGAGGGTGTGCTCCCAGTACAACTCCTAGTCGGAACATTGACGTATTGCTCGAACGCATTTACGTGCATCCAAACTACTAGTTCCTTCTCTAAAATACCCACTCGGTTTTCAGCATGCGGCAGGTTTAGGTCACCGACGATCAGAAAATTAGGTGCGGCCACTTCCGCCTGTCTTAGTAAGGTGCCAAGATCCCTGTCCTCTTCTCGCGTGGAGGATGGGCTGCGATAAACACATACTATAACCTCCAATCTACCCGATGCTCTTAGATAGCAAGAACAGATTAGCAGAACACATGGTAAATGGAGCCTCCCAGTGTGTATAATGGCACTTTATAAGCAAGAGTACTCATCCACAAGCCTGATACCCGGGTATGTCAGCCCTGTAACATGCAAAGTCTATAGGCAGATCACCAATAAGGATATCTGGAGAGAGCCAGGACTCCGACACAGCGGCCACATCAACGTGCTCACAACGCGTCACTAATTCCCCCCATTGGTTACGCACACTACAACAATTAGTATACCACACGCTTAGTCCTCCGAACGCGGTTGTTTCTCCTCGGACGTAGAGCCCGAGAAGATAACCCGATTTTTTGTACCATTTCATTTCGATCAGCGGCTTGAGTAGATGAATCAACGATGGGGCTGCTGTAACGCATTACGGGATAATCCCTTTCCTGGACTCGCCCGCCTGGGCTTGCTGGATAAACTCCCGACGGGTTTCCTCCCTTTTACCTGAGCCGACCTAACAGCACTGCGCTTCGGATTTTCAGTACGGTCCAATTTAGGTGTGGCAAGTTTTTCCTTTATCCTATCGTTTTGTGAAAAGGCATACCACCCATGGACTTTGGTGCCACTACCATCGAGCATGAGGCCTCGATTGTTTTTGAATACAGATTTGCAGTCAGTAAGACAAATGGATGTTTCGAAAGTTAAAACAACCGTAAAATCCAATGTTACAAAATACTGAAAGAGCTTGTTTTCCGGTGCACTACATTATCAATTACAGGGTGAAGTCCAAGTGCCCTGTAGGGAATAAGCATCTAGAAAACTTGGCAAATAAAGGAGCGCTATAAATGTATAAGGAACGAGTTTTATTGTGAATAAGAGATTTGACATGGATACATGGCGGGAGGTATGTAATCTTATTTTCCACCATAGCTTAGAACATGGCCAAAGATTAATTTTGCAATGCGCAGATACCTTTCTGTGGAGATTTAAGCCTGGCACATGTTTAAAGTATTAAATTTTTTTATGTTTTCCTTGTGCATGTGCCATCACCATCTTCTTCCCATCTAACCAGCCCTAGTCCATGTACTGCCTGGGTGAGTAAGAAAGGCGGTTCTCCCAGGACAAGAACCCAGGCCGTCCGGTTGGCCATCCAGCACGCTACCACTACGCTATACTTGTCCTTACCACGTACCTTATACTAACTATTAAACACGTACATCGGCAACAGCATCGATCAATACGCATTGCTGCTGTACCATGCAACATAAGCAGAATCCCATTGATCGCTGGTGGCGTATTCGACGGTCCGAGCTGCCGACTTTGGCGGAATCGCAGCGGATAATCGCGATTTGCTTTATTAATCTTTACCTTTCAACTCACATTTTTGACTAAACGCTGAAAACTGTCGTCATTGAATTTTCCTGAATAAGCCTATGGCTTTACTTGGATTCTCTGCGTTGCTGTCACTTTTAGCTGTAGGCTGTTTCGGACTTCCGGAAATCAGCCGGTGGCAAGAACATGTCGTAAAAGTACCGATACCTGTTTGTTGTCTCTACATTCTACTAGAACACCACTCTTTCCATGGAAAAGTCCATGTTTGAGCTTTCGGAGATTTTCTTAAAGAGTAACAATGTGATATTCACCGTCATTGCTCTCAATTTAGTCTACTGTCGGGAAAAATTTGATCTCCGAATTTCTTGGATGCTGTTACAGTCGTCGTGCATTGAGTTGTTTCTTGATTTTAACATCGTGGGTTTTGAATTACATCTAACTTCAACTTAGACCGATGTGGCCAAGAATATGGATTCCTTCGTTTCAAATTCAGTGAAGGTTACTGTGGAGAAGGGATCCTCCAAATTTTCGTGTAACCCTTCCCATCCCACATATGTTGAAGTAAGACGTCGCACGCACCATTTCTTAGTATTTTGAACATCTGAGAAGTTTTCCAGCGGCTGTGTTCTGCCTCAACCGCATAGCGCTAGAGCGTAGTAGTATTAGTTGTCCAGCCTACTGATGTTGCCACTTGTCTAAGGCGATCACCTATCTATGCTGATGACCTTAAGCTATGGAATGTTGTAAATGTTCCTGGGGGTTCTGAGGCCATACAGCATGCACTGGACAGACTCTGGGACTGGTCTACTTTGTGGCTACTGCCCATAAATCAGGCTAAGTGTTCCGTCCTTCGTATAGGAGCAACTTTCCCGCCTTCGAGCTACGTACTCGGTGGGGTCGAACTCCCCCTTGTCTCCAACCAGATAGATCTAGGTGTCGTTCATTCCACGTCTTTGCATTCTGGTGACAACTGGAAGAAGGCCGCTAGTAGGGGTTTCAGAATGTTGTGGTTAATACGACGTTCTTTCGGGGTCTTAACTGCCGACATATTTGTGAAGCTGTTCTCAGCTTTCGTCCGGCTTTATCTGGAATACTGCGTCCAGGCTTGCCCGCCCTGCCTTGTTCGGGACAAAATGGAGGGTTTTGAGAGTAGGTACCAAATTGGTCGAGAGGGTTACGGGGGCAATCGTACCCCGAGCGTCTACTTAGCTTGGGTATGTATTCAATGCACTACCGACGGCTTCAAGGAGACCTAATCCTTACTTACCGCATTTTAACAGGGAAGTTTGGACCGTACTTGAGCTGGCTATTTAGCCCGGCTAGGTTGCCTTGTCTTCGCGGTCATCCAATGAAGCTACACAAGCCGCGTTCTGACCGGATCAGGGCGGAAACTTGGTTATCGCGTAGAGTTATCGAGCGCTGGAACTCGCTTCCAGAAAGTGTAGTCAGTGAAACTACGGTTAAGGGTTTCGAGCGTCAGTTAGACGCTCTTGGGTGGCAACACGAAACCTTTCCCTTCTCCTGACCATATCCATTTTCAAACTTTTAGTTCTTATTCTGTCATTCTCTTCACTTTTTGGTGTTATCCTTCATTTTAATGACTTTCATTCCCCGTTATCTTCCATTTACTTTCTACTTCCTTCTTACTTCACGTAACCTACACAGCGCGGACTGCTAGTGCTGGTAATCAGCCAACAACATCCCCAACGATTTTCCTATGTTTTCTCAGTAGTCTTACCCTATGTATCGCGTCCACCTAACACAACCGCGGCAGGTTTTCAGATTCAGATGGACTGGAACGATAGGAAAATTCCTTGAGTGTTCCTTCTTGAGCAACTCGTTAAGCCAGGAAATGATAAGATGCTAGTTCTTGATAGATCTAAAGTGAAACACCCGGAACACCCTGATTAACCAATTACTGCCCACGTTCCCTGCACTAGCAGTCCGCGCTGTGTAGGTTACGTGAAGTAAGAAAGAAGTAGAAAGTAAATGGAAGATAACGGGGAATGAAAGTCAATAAAATGAAGGATAACACCAAAAAGTGAAGAGAATGACAGAATAAGAACTAAAAGTTTGAAAATGGATATGGTCAGGAGAAGGGAAAGGTTTCGTGTTGCCACCCAAGAGCGTCTAACTGACGCTCGAAACCCTTAACCGTAGGTTCACTGACTACACTTTCTGGAAGCGAGTTCCAGCGCTCGATAACTCTACGCGATAACCAAGTTTCCGCCCTGATCCGGTCAGAACGCGGCTTGTGTAGCTTCATTGGATGACCGCGAAGACAAGGCAACCTAGCCGGGCTAAATAGCCAGCTCAGGTCCGATCCAACCTTCCCTGTTAAAATGCGGTAAGTAAGGATTAGGTCTCCTCGAAGCCGTCGGTAGTGCATTGAATACATACCCAAGCTAAGTAGACGCTCGGGGTACGATTGCCCCCGTAACCCTCTCGACCAATTTGGTACCTACTCTCAAAACCCTCCATTTTGTCCCGAACAAGGCAGGGCGGGCAAGCCTGGACGCAGTATTCCAGATAAAGCCGGACGAAAGCTGAGAACAGCTTCACAAATATGTCGGCAGTTAAGTCCCCGAAAGAACGTCGTATTAACCACAACATTCTGAAACCCCTACTAGCGGCCTTCTTCCAGTTGTCACCAGAATGCAAAGACGTGATTCCCACGTTCTTTAGAACCTGGTAAAGGCGACCTCCACGCCACAATTTTAGCTACGTGCGGGAGTGTGTTGAACGCGTCATCTGCGCTCACACGTGTTCCAAAACTGAGGCCATCGAAACAGTCGGCGATGCCAGTTTAATACCGTGAGCCTTACACTGAAATCCAGACATGTTTGTTGGGTAGAATATTGGAACAGGTAAGGTCACCAACTACGCGATTGGATGTGTACTCGTAAGTGAACAACTGAATAAATTGCAGTAGATCTGCAGACAAGTCAACACAATAATAATTTCAGCGCCCAACGCATGTTGTCACATGTTCTTACTGAGAGCCGGAAAGATGTGTGAAGGCCAGCGTACCGTCTCAGGGCAAGATATACATCAGATTGTGATGGACTACAAATGCCGCTGTCACGCCTCTTGGGGGCGTACCACCCACTTCCCCCAATGCTACACCACTGCTGTCTAAGGCGACCACTCAAGCGACCTACAAAATGTGGTCCTCTTGGACTGGTGATCGCCCCAGCAGATTGAACTGTACCTTTCGTTGCATCTAAATGGTTTTCTTACAAATGGTTTGTCCACCAAGTACACGTTATTGGCAAATCTCGAATTCCATCGAAAACTCTATGCCGTTTTCTAGCTAAGCGAGTATTCGTCCAGCATACATTACAGAAAATAGATAAAAACTACAGAATTTTATGTTCATTTTGAGCGGAACAGCTTCTGATTGAAGAGTCTGATAAAGGAAAATGGCTAACTCGAAAATCGCTAAGCTGAAGGCATTAAAACCTAAAAAAGGCAGGCAAATGCATTAGCAGTTCGCCGGTACGCAGTACCAACGCTTCGCTGCCGTCCAACCGCCACCGGTCGCACGTAGGCTACTGATATTGCAAAGGTCGCCCTGCCCCTACGCAGGCTCGAACCCGCGCTGCACGATTTAAAGACAACCTCGTACCTTCAAATTACGGGTTCCACTTGAAGAAAGTATATCAGTGATTCGACGTCATGAAGGAGAAAGTTCGCGAACATTGGCAGAACATTTTGGAGTAGGAAGGACACGAATCCTTCAAACTTTAAACAGGAAAGCCGAGTTTTTAAACGACTATAAAAACAACGCATCAAAACTTAGAAGAAGGAACGACAGAAAAACCGGAAATGAAGCTATAAACATACTTTGTTAGGTATGGTGCCAGTCTGCACTTGCAATAAAAATCCCACTATCTGGACTAATTATTCAAGTAGGGACTTTGCACTCAAAGTTTGGGGCATCAGATTGCTGGCTGCAGGCTTTCATCAGTAGGCACAACCCTATGGTAAACAATCTGGCGAAAGCGGTGACTCAAATATTTGTGCTGCATCAGACTGGATAGCAAAACTACCTGAAACATTTTCCGGGTACGCAGCTGAAGACATAATTTTATTGACACTAGCTTGTTAATCGAATCTGTCTATGCAAAAAACAATTTTGTCAGGCGAGAAATGTGCAGGTGGAATACGAAGCAAGGAGCAAATCACATTTGTGCTATGTACTAACATGCTGTCGGAGCGGGAACTGGCCTTAATGCTTAGTAAATCAGTCAACCCTCGAATTTTTAGAAACGTCCATGTGACGAAACTACCGGTGCTTTACAATGATAATCAAAAGGCGTAGATGACTACAGTAATGTTGGAAATTAAATTTGTAGCTTTTACACAAAGATGCAACAGCAAAGCGTAACCTCCTTTTGTTTCTTTACCCTGCCACTTGTCATCCCAGAATTCAGCTGTAGAATGTCAAACTGCAGTTCCTACCACCTACCACCACTGCGCTGATTCAACCCCTCGATCATTCAAACATTTAAAGAAAGGACAGCTTTTACATAGTATTACCATCATGAATCGCAATGAGGCTGGACCTTACCGTGGTGCGATGGTTTGCGTGCCTCAGAGATCCATTGAGCTATGCTGGGTGGTGGATTTTTTGCACCTTCAGAGCCACTCATGCCAGATTGGTCAATGGTTAGAGGCCAGACAAACTCAGCCTCCTGGTCCTCCAGGTTGGGGGTTGGAATGGGCGTGGCTCCTCATTTCATAAAACGGGCTCTGTAGTCCAGTGCCAAAACCCGCTGCCTTGCGGTAAGGTTTTTGAACCAAAGGCTTTGGTTGAGGACCCTAATCGTTCTCCTGTCTAGGCCTGGGCAACCTGACAGTATTCTGCCCACGCAATACAATGAACCTTTCCTACAATACTTTCTTGATGCTCTGGCCGTCGCAGAGGATAATAAACGGTGCCCTATCTGCTGCATCGAGCAGGGTGGATAGGGGTATGGATGCTACTGCTCAGGCCTTCCCGTCTTCTTATACCCCTTCTTGCGCTTCTTCATCCTTATCGTCCCGCTCCAACTTTACTTATATCCCCCCATTTTCAATCCCCCAATTCTTGGCCCTCCCCCAGCTTACTTCAATAGTCGCTTGTCTTCTAATTTCAAATCACACACAATCGCAGGGCCTCGCTCCAATCCAGTCGACAAGTCCATGTTCAACCAAGCGGACAACGTCAGTTCATCCGTTTCCCTTTGGAGTCCTCGTGTCTCGCTAAGATTGGCATGCTTCAACGTGCGCACCTTGCTGCAGATTGGCCAACAGGCAGCACTTGCCCGCACACTAGAGACCCTGTCGATCGATATTTGCTGTTTATCAGAAACCCGCCTGCAAGATTCGAGCTCCGTGCTTACCCTGAGATCCCCCACATGCGACACTGGCGGCACATTCTCATTGCGCCTGTCTGGCGATGATGCAGCTTCAAATGCCGGTCAAGCTGGCGTCGGCATTGTTTTGAGTCCCCGGGCTGAAGCTGCCCTGATTGATTGGATCCCAGTAAACAGTAGGATGTGCGCCGTTAGATTAGC